TGCCGAAAATGTGGCTACGCGGCGTCTTTACAGTATACTTGCACTGACCGGCAGTTACGCTTGATGGAGAGCGAAGTGATTTTACGAATGAGCCTATGTTGCCGAAAATGTGGCTACGCGGCGTCTTTACAGTATACTTGCACTGACCGGCAGTTACGCTTGATGGAGAGCGAAGTGATTTTACGAATGAGCCTATGTTGCCGAAAATGTGGCTACGCGGCGTCTTTACAGTATACTTGCACTGACCGGCAGTTACGCTTGATGGAGAGCGAAGTGATTTTACGAATGAGCCTATGTTGCCGAAAATGTGGCTACGCGGCGTCTTTACAGTATACTTGCACTGACCGGCAGTTACGCTTGATGGAGAGCGAAGTGAACTTTACGAGTGAGCTTATGTTGTCGAAAATGTGGCCACGCGGCGTCTTTACAGTATACTTGCACTGACCGGCAGTTACGCTTGATGGAGAGCGAAGTGAACTTTACGAGTGAGCTTATGTTGTCGAAAATGTGGCCACGCGGCGTCTTTACAGTATACTTGCACTGACCGGCAGTTACGCTTGATGGAGAGCGAAGTGATTTTACGAATGAGCTTCGCCTCATGGCGCGTTGCGCTTAAATGTGCATGCGGCGTCTTCAGCGCCGGCAACAGTGTCGATGCGCGTCCCTTCCAGAAATTTTCCTTTGGCGTGAGAAAACGAAGCTTCTAGAAGTTTCGAAGGCGTCCCTATAATTTTTGTGAGTGCTGGCAGTAAATAATATTTCAAATCGTAAACTTGCTCGGACTTGCCGAGTTTTATTTGTAAACATTTTCTCGAGTGCCCGCCTCGGTCCGCACGTGCGGATCAGCCTAGGCGCACGTGGTGGCCAGCCTTGCTGCACGCGCGGTCAGTCTAGGCGCACATGCGGTACGCCGGGCTGCGTAAATGACCTTTCTTTTGTTTGAAATTCATGGGACTGCTTCAATCCCGAACACATTTATAGTAAAATAAGCAATTTTATTAAAATTATATAGAGCTATTTTGATATTTTTAAATCGATCTAATTATATTCACATCTTATAATTTATTATTTTTTAATTTTTTGTGCAGTTTGTTGTAGGAGTTCTTCTATTAAAAATTTGCAAAATTCATGCTTCAAAAGAGGAATTTATTTAATAACGTTGTTTGGAATTCCAACCACCAGTATGATCGCAGATCTCGCTGGGTGGATTAGACCGTACCACCAGTTTAATGGTGATGGAGGGGGATAGGTGAGAGGTTAATGCATCAACTCAGAGTAAATACAATTGGTTTTAGTGACCTTTATTTAAGTAGTTGTTACAGTATTGTAGATGTTTTTTATTGTGGTGAGAATTGTTGAATGTAGTGCATAGGCAGTTGATTATTAAGTCGAAACATCGTCTGCAAGTGCAAGCTTTGTTGGGTAATAATTCCGGGTCTTATTTTATAGTTATGTGTCGTGTGAGTCGCGCTTGAATTATATTAGGCATTAATTGGCTCGCGGAGCTTCGACGCTTACGGCGATGCGAATAGTACCAAGCGAGCTTTGGCTCGTGACTGATTAGGCGCTTGATTCGACGTTGGAATTGACTGAGTCATATTCGGCTCGTGCCGGTGATGGGGATTATTACGAATATTTGTCGCCCTCTTTTGTGGTTTGATCAGAACCAATTTATTGTGGTTTGACCGGTAATGTCTCGTAGTACTAATTGAGATTTAGGCAGAGGTCTACTGTCAGGATTGGTGCGCTCTCTTGCTTGTTTGCTAGGGACTCAAGTCAGGGGGCTTTTAGGCTGGGCTCTATCGATAATTATGATAGACGTGGGTCGTGTTGCAGTCACGAGAATTCGGCGAGAATTAACGACAATGTCAATAATATTGATAGCTGGCCAGCAATAATAACATTTGAAGAGTAATAATAATAATATACCTTGCAGGGATTCCTTCAGACGAGTTAGATTTTCACAGATATTACTGACACTAGTTTCACTTGAGTAATTCAACAAGACTGTTTTCTTCGCCGCTCGTTGTTTCTTAAATACGATTGCGTACATTTAGTGTTATTAATTCTTGGAGGCTTTAATGAATTCTCTGGAAGCAAGCTTTGACAATTTCGAGAAGCTTCTTTTGTTGCTATGCGGACAAAGTGCGCGGCTAAATTTCCAGTGAATTTTTGTAACGTATAATTCGAATCTTGCGCCTTAATTTAAATGTGATTTATCGGAATCGTATTTTAACAAACAATAAATTCTTATTTTTTATTGGGTGGTTCAATCCTCAACAAACATGTATGTATATCCATTATTAAAATAAATATTATAATCGTCTAAATAGCTATGATGAATGTCTTTAGCAATTTATAAAAAATCTATGATATTCAACTACTATGAATTAAATTATTCTATTCTTTAGTAATCAATCTTTTGTGATGTTTATTGAGGTAGTTTCAATAGTAAATTATTTGAATTATATAATTAATAAATCCTTATATATTAATCCATTATTAACAATAATATATCTTCTTAAATTATCAGATTTTATAATATTAGCTTTAACTTTTAGTTTAAAGACTTTTTTGAAACATAGGTGAATGAAAATTGTTATATATAAAAATAAATAAATATTGTTAGGTATGAATTATATGTAATCATAATAAAATATATTAAATATATTATTTCAAATTAGCAAAATATTTTATGTAATATATCTTTAATGAACATAAACTCAGCAATTTCTATATATTTTCAATATATTTTATCCATACATGGTATCATTAACTAAATATCTATTATTCGGTCCTAGTTATTTATGATTATTACTATTATTTAATTTTTATTCTTATGTCAATATAATATTTAAACATATAGATAATAAATATTTTTACATTGTAATTAATTAACTAATGAAATATAATCAATTGTAAACTCGTTTCACCTAACTTATTATTAAGCTACATTTTAATTTTTCATACAGAAGATTTGTCTCTGATATAATTTGACTACTAAATCATAATTAATATTTACATTCCACCTATTTACTAAATTTATTTACTAAATATTGAATAAAGTATGTATAATATATACGAACATATACGAATATAAAACTCATAAATATATTGTTTTATAATTAGAAGAAAGAAGACATTAAAAACGTAACAAAAAGAATATTTATTATTAAAAATGGAATATCACGGGTTCAAATCTTATACTAATTGTTAATAATATATATATACATATATATGTCAAGCAGCGCTTTCATGATTTAGAATTTACAGTATCAAATAATTGGGAAAATATACAATTTAAAACTTGTTATTAAAAAACTTAATATTAAATAAAGAAAATTAATTTCGTAGTATTTTGAAATCATCATAGATGAATCTTTATAACTAACATACTACATTATTTAAAATAAAATAAATATAATAAGTTAAGGAAATAGCATTCGAAACTTATCCATATACAAAAAGATTAAAAAATAGAATAAAATATGTCAAGATTTATCTTAAACAATATTTCCACAATTTTATTTATATTTTATTCATCACATAAATTAATTGCATATTGTAATTAGAAGAGCTTATTTACTATTTAATAGGACTGTTTATACTTTTGGTATATTCATTAACTAATATAAATGCTAAAGTTGGCGTTGATGACTGTCAAATTACTCCTGTCATACATGTTTTACAATATTCGGGCTGTGTTCCAAAACCAATACCAAGTTTTGCTTGTATAGGGCAATGTAGCAGTTACTTACAAGTAAGATAACCTTTATTAAAAAAAATTTTTTTTAATATTATTCAGTTATATATAACTAATATTTCCAAAAGATATTTATATTTTATTATATTTAACTAAACATGTGTATTTAACAATATTTATATTTTATTATATTTAAGTAGCCATATGTTCGAGATTGCGAGACTTTTTTTCAATGTAATATAACATCTGGCAAAACAACATAGTAAATTTATCTTTTAGATTTCAAAAATTTCTTGCTCTCAACCATCTAGGAATAGTGTCATAAAACATCTGGAAAAACAAGACAATAAACACGGGAAAATCAGACTCATTAGACATCTGTGCGAATTCGCTCCGCTCTTCTTGCCGTAAAGACCAAGAGACGACTACGCCCTTAATTAACTATAAAGCCACAAGAGGCGCTGCCCTCGCTCTGTAAGAGAGGAGTCTCTGATCGGACGGAGGGGTTCAAGTGAAGTTCATGACCAGCAAATGTATTTAAGGAGCGTATATTTCGATATTTAAATACTCTCGATACAGTACTTATTTAAATAAGAAGTGGAAGTCTCCTATTAACGTAGTTCAAGGCAACTATAGTTACAAGTCCTATTGTCGGGAGACGTATTCCCTTATCGAAGTCTGAAGACAAGTGTCCAGTGTCAGTCCTCTTTCAGAAGGAACAGGAAAGTTCCTTTACTAAGTCTATCAACAGATAGACTAGCGATACCGATAGTCAAAGGTCTTGGAAGTTGCTTCAATCCCGAACACTATTATACAGATTAAAATAATCAATATCTTATTTTCATTTTCATTTATTTAATATTTATTAAAATTTTTTTTTTAGTATCATCTATTTAATACTGATGGTATAAAATAAGTATACTGAAATTACTTTACATAGTTGTTCGGGATTGAAGCAGTCCCATGAATTTCAAACAAAAGAAAGGTCATATACGCAGTTCGGCGTACCGCGTGTGCGCCTAGACTGACCGCATGTGCAGCAAAGCTGACCATCACGTGCGCCTAGGCTGATCCGCACGTGCGGACCGAGGCGGGTACTCGAGCAAAATGTTTACAAACAAAACTCGGCAAGTCCGAGTGTCGATCGGGCAAACTTACGCTCTCTCGAACTGATCCCTCGACATCGTACAGGCCCGCTACCACTAACATCGTACAGGCCCGCTAGCACAACCTGGGCACACTTACGCTCTCTCGAACAAACCCTCGACATCGTACAGGCCCGCTAGCACAAACAGGGCACACTTACGCTCTCTCGTTACTAACCCTTGACATCGTACAGGCCCGCTAGCCCAAACAGGGAACACTTACACTCTTCCGAAGAACACTTCGGAACCGTACAGGCCCTGAACAGCTGACTCAAGAGTCACTGTGGTTCACACACATTGGTTACACAAGAACAACACAGATCGACTAATAGACTCTATAAATACAGATTATTAAATCCTTCACGAATTAGAAATATTACCTTTAATTGTTTTTACATGTAACTAGATTCTACTGCTCTCCCTTTTACATAATCAAAGACATAATCGATTACATAATAAATTCCATTTAAGATCTGACACCACATCAAGTATAGCTATTCATCAATCAAGCATACTTGATTCAACTACCATCTTCTCATGCTGCCTCACAAGCAACGATTGACTGACGACATCAGCTGACATTGACAACATCAGCATAACCTCAAAGCAACACTGTAATATCTATAGAAGCCTTCATAGCATAAGAATCACAAAAACACATCATTTGAATAATCCAACAGAATTATTTATTTCTACACAACAGTGCAATATTATAATAATTGTTTACAATCATTAACCTTGTTTTTAATAAATATATTATATTTTTCAGCCTTCTCTGTTATTGATTTCCTTTAAAATTATCCTGCCGAGAGACTTATCCACTGAACTATTGAATTGGTAGTTCGAGCCATAAGCTAACCCTTTAAAACCGAACAATAGTAAACGTCTTTAATATAATATACTTTAATATAATTTACAGGACACATAGAAATAAAAAATCCACGTTGTATATATTTAAGCTATTGAACAAAGGCTTTGTACAAAATGTACTCGCCGTTCCGGCTTGTTTTACTAAGACCGATTCGAAGGATACAAATTGATGCCGTTGACAACTCAGAGATCGCGGGTGTTATGTGATAGCGATGAAAAGTCACAAGTGGAAGGGATATTATAATAATACCATATAAATATGGCTGATGTATATGCTGATTATTCTGTTATCTATTTGATGACAAGGCTTGACTAGTATTACTATTATTAATTATTGAAATGACTCTTGGGGTGGATTAATGTGTTTGCGGTGGCAAATGTATACTCATCTATGCAGCGTGATAGTTTTAATATGAGCGCAGAATGGCGCGAAGTTTGATTCGTCGACGCTCGCGCTGTTTGGATGAGAACGTGCGTAATTCAGGTTATGGTTGTTATGTAGCGCGACACTGTTGTTACTTGAGAGATATACTCGTATCGCAGTAAGCGTACCTTGCCCTGATATTGGCGTACTGCAATAAATTCAGATTGAAGTAAGTTTGAAGGGCTTTTACCTCATGAAGGATACTGCTATTTGTTGTGTCTTCTGTGAGCATTGAATGGCACGCTGTGGATTCATAAGCGTCAGACTTTGAACTAAGGTGAGGGTAAGGTCGGCAAGTCTCGCATTAGTTGATGCGACCTTGACGATGAGCTTGGAGTAATTCCGCATTGTCCTTCTGGTGAGAGCCTCTTCTTCTGTAGTTGCTTGTCGATGACGTATTCTGAATCTTAAGTTTTTATTTTATTATTGTAGTGGTGCTACTACTTACGAAAACTAATCGTCGACTTGTCTTCGGACTCCGATAGGTGGATATGTCTTCAATCCTTTTGAACTTGTAACGACGGTTTCTTGAACTGCGTTAATGGACAGACGGGGATATGTCGTCGTTCTTCTTGGACGTGTAACGACTGTTGCCTTGCACTTTACTAGAACCCCTTCCCTTATTTTTCGTCCAATCAGAGATTCCTCCCTTACAGAGCGAGGGCAGTGCTTTTTGTGGCGTCATAGTTAATTAAGGGCGTAGTCGTCTCTTGGTCTTTACGGCAAGAAGAGCTCTCGTTGCCGCTGATGCATCTGGCGACAGCATGACAAGGGGGGGGGGGGGGGAGGTGGTCCGCTAGTACATACTGCTTGAAGTAATTGCCGTGCGGAGCGAATTCGTACAGATGCCTAATGAGTGGGTTTTTCCCGTATTTATTGTATCGTTTTTCCAGATATTTTATGATACTATTGCTAGATAACTGTGAACAAGAAAGGTTTTAAATCTAAAAACAAATTTACGATGTTCTTTTTCCAGATGTTATATTGCATTGAAAAAAGGTCTCGCAATCTCGAACAGGCGTAGAGTAATTTTTTCTTTCTTTCTCTTTCTTATTTTATCTCCCTCCTATTTCTGATAAGTCAATTTTTATTTAAAAATAACTATCTATAGATCATTCGTTTTCATTTTCCACATTTACCTTAATTATATTAGTTGAGTAATATTATGACAATAATGATAATAATATATTCTACATTGATAAATTATTTATATTATTTACGAATTACCCTACAGTATATTATATTAGAATTAATAAACAAAACGGTTCAAATAATGAAGAAGCAATATTAGTATGGAAAATAGAATTGTGTTTTATATGATGTGGCAAAACATATTTATTATGTTTCTAGAATTATAACTAATTAACTATTGTAAAGTGATTTTTTTTTAAATAAGAGCTATTAATAATTTGATAACACAAATTTAAATATCAAATTTATAATGATGAACATATGTTGAACCTTCCACCATCCCGGATGCTTGTGTGGCTGATTAGTTTCACTGTTTCGGATGTTTCGTATGGATGAATTAACTGTGATCGTAGTCTAACCATTTCAGCACTCATATACGTCTCCGTCTACAACTCGGATCGTATAATGACCTCCTTGGCGTGCTGCAGGACTAAAGTCGCATCCATTAAACGGATCACTATCCTAAGATTGGAGCTAGCTGCAACCCTGCTCTTATCAAAACTAATGCATTACGTCCTAGCCAAACTAAAGACGGACATTAGAGCAACACATCTGTAGACAGACTCACGGGTGACACTCACGTGAATAAAATCCCATTCATCAACATGAAAGGAATTTGTTAGAAACAGGCTTTCGATCATTCAGATGCTCACTAGAGATATGTTCCTGGCACATCGAACCTATCGGATGGCGCCTCCCGAGCCATAAATACCATCTACAAGAACATCCAGTTTGGTCGACCGGACCACCATTGATAAAGTTACCTAAGTCATGGCCAACCCAGCCTACATTGAACTAAAGATAATTTGAATATGAAGCTTGTACCAGTGTTGTAATATTAGCTACAGTACCTAAGACGCAATATAAACGGAACATGATCCAAAGATACTCAACACTTAAAAAACTTTTCGCAAGAATTGGGGGTTCTCAACTTTAACGATCACTTACCTGAGTTATCAACATACAGCTTAGCAACGGTAGACTGACCAAAGTAGTTACGCTAAAAACAACTTCGCCAACTATTGTTAGGACAAAAGACAAACTTACAGTGCTACCAATCCCTGAGGAAGGGAATAATCATCAACGAAATAGATAATGGCGGGCGGAATGTTCGGAATTGGAGCATTTGCCAAGAACTTAGGCTCTCGAAAATGTATAAACCTTCAAGCTCTCTAATTTTGTAAACAATTGACTCCGAGAATTCTCGAATATTCCAAAGCTTTACCTTCGACCGTCCTATAATGTTTATCTGGCCTCCACATAGCAACGTCGGTTGGAATTCTTCTACTTTCTCAAGCTTTTCTTTTCCAGAATTCTCAAAACTTCTAAAGCTTTAGACTCGAACGTTTTGCAATGTTTTCCGTATAGCAACACATATGGATTATTACCTGCTAAGTAAGCTGTTGTGTGGATATTTAAAGCAAGCTTACCACGTAACGGCGCTTATAGCTACTCAGCCAGGAAGCCAGTCAGTTATGCTAATCAGTCAGCTAGCTAATCGCCATACACTCTCAAGGTAAGGCTACCGAGGAAGGAAGACGCGTCTATTCTTTGTGCTGCAAGATAAACGAGTTGACATGGCCCCCTTCAAATCAAGAAAGTGCTGGACAGATCATCCAAAATAGAGAAACTAATCAGCCACACGGAGCTTCAGGGATGATAGAAGGTTCAACACAGAATAGGCCGAGACTACTGTGTAAATTTGATTCTTCGAGCCGGATCAGTGGAATCCGGATGATTTGGTCCTTCCTGGTTCCTATATTAATAATAGCACCATGCTATTCTTGTAAGGATTAGTACTGATTTATGCCTTAGACTTGGTTTACTCACAGGGATACAGTATCCTTGGCCTGATCTGTGATGAATGTTTTTTATCCCGAATTCTCCATATGGAAACCGTATAGAAACTGGGGCAGCTTACTTAGCTGACAACAATGCATGGGTGTTGCTATGCGGAAAACATTGTAGGACGTTCGAGTCTAATGCTTTAGAAGTTTCGAGGACTCCGGGAAAGAAAGGCTTTAGAAGGTTGGAGAATTCCAACCGACGTTGTTATGCGGAGGCCAGATAAACATTATAGGACGGTCGAAGGTAAAGCTTTAGAATACTCGAGAATTCTTGGAGTCAAATGTTTACAAAATTAGAGATTTTTTTAAATTGAATATATACATAATAGAATAGAATAGAAAATTTGATAATAGATAATAGAATATAAGTAATAATATAGATATATAAATAATAAATAATAAATATATAAATATATAAATATAAATAATAAAATAGAAAATAAAATAAAAAAATAGAATAGAAAAAACAACAACAAAATAGAATACAAAACTAAAGCTTATACATTTCTGAAAGCCTTTGTTCTTGGAAAATGCTCCAATTCCGTACAGAGTATTTAAAAGTTATATAAAAATTTTAATTTATTTTTATTAATATAACAAAAAATGCAATAATATTCTATTAAACTAATTATTATAATTCTAAATGTATTAACTCTGTAAATATTGTAAGATAATTAGTTATAAGCCACAAAATATTAAAAAATTTCTTTACAGATATCTGGTTCTAAAATATGGCAAATGGAGAGAAGTTGTATGTGTTGTCAAGAAAGTGGTGAAAGAGAAGCAAGTATATCCTTGTTTTGTCCAAAAGCTAAAGCTGGTGAACGAAAATTCCGAAAGGTACATAAAACATTTTTATTGGCAATATTCTTTTAACTCACTAATAACTCAGTAATAACATTAATTAATGTTTTTACATATGTAATATGTAAATTTAAAGCAATAAATTTATGATTGGATTCTCAAGAAAATTAGCTCAAGAAATTTTTTCTTTTTGTAGTCTTTAAAAATTTCCAAGTCAAGTATTAATTATGTTTCTTCCTTTTCTGATCACTAAAAATATGGTTTTTCTTTTTTAAAGAACGTATGAATTTTTTTAGACATCATTAAGTCAACCGCTTAGCCCTTCATCTCATTTTAATTTGGGGGCCTTATAGCTGGTAGTCTAAAAATACTGACAAAAATTTCTTTTATTTGTTGAGTGTATAGTTTGTATTTATAATTGATCCTATCTAAAGTAAATTGACCTCGAGATCAGTATAATTCTCTAATAATATGAACAGAATGCTTATCCAGTAATAAGTTATTTGTTAAGGCAAATGACAGACTTCATCTCGAATATTCTAAATTTTATTCTATAATTTATATTTTTACAGTTTTGACAGTATGCTTATTTTTACAGTGAAAAGGAAACAAAAAGTAAATTATTAAACACATATCAAACTTTCTATCGCTTATCAGTTCTAAGGATCTACATATTTTATTATGTATATTATGTAGCTGTATTTTAAATCAATACATACTTTGTTTTCTTAATACTATAGTGAACTACTTATATAATAATAATATTAATTTATGATAATAAATAACTTTTTTTATAATTACTCTTATATTGATATGTATATAGTAGTTTAAAATATATTTCTCTCTTTCTGATAGATAGTATTTTGGATTAGAAAGGTCCACTATTTGTTTGAATATTTTAATAATATTTATAATGTCAATAGAAAGATTCAAAAACAAAAGTTGAGTATCTTATTCGTAAATCATTTTATATACATTTAAATTTCCCTATTTATCAGTTTACTTATTTTGACTAATACTTCTTCTTTCTTATGATAAGATAAATGTATTTACATTCGTAAATAATTAAATGTTATACATATGAAATTTGTTATTTTTCTTTTATTAATCAATTAAGAATAATATGATAATTATTACTATTCAATACATTTTCTGACAATTAAAATTAAATTTTGAACTAATAAGTTTATCAAATTTATCAATAAATTTAATATAAACAACGATATTTTACTTTTAATTCATTATTCAAAACAATTAATATTTATCAACAAAAATATAATTAAAATATTACTAATAAACTCTTTGATAAGCTATCTATTGAATAGAACAGCTGAGATACCAATATTACAGATTCAGAAGTAAATAAGCTAGAAATCTTACAAATAAACTAGTTATAAATTCTGAATAAAAACATAAATAAAATAATATATTTACGTACAAGATTATTTTAAGAGTATAAATAGAAATCGTACAAATATAATTATTACTAATAAAATTTTAAAACATTAAATCCTGAAATTCAAGTAGTGACAGCAGTCTTTATGGTAGTTAATAATGATAATATTATTTTAATAATAATTAATGCTTAGTTATGTGTTTGAATGAAAAATAATTTGTCTATTATTTATTAATTCGCATAGTACTTGTCGAATTTTAAATTATAACAAAAAGGTGTAAGTTATTACTTTAATCTAGTTTGATTGAAGCTATGTGTTCGGGATTGAAGCAGTCCCATGAATTTCAAACAAAAGAAAGGTCATTTACGCAGCCCGGCGTACCGCATGTGCGCCTAGACTGACCGCGCGTGCAGCAAGGCTGGCCACCACGTGCGCCTAGGCTGATCCGCACGTGCGGACCGAGGCGGGCACTCGAGAAAATGTTTACAAACAAAATTCGGCAAGTCCGAGCAAGTTTACGATTTGAAATATTATTTACTGCCAGCACTCACAAAAAAGGGACGCCTTCGAAACTTCTAGAAGCTTCGTTTTCTCACGCCAAAGGAAAATTTCTGGAAGGGACGCGCATCGACACTGTTACCGGCGCTGAAGACGCCGCATGCACATTTAAGCGCAACGCGCCATGAGGCGACGCTCATTCGTAAAGTCACTTCGCTCTCCATCAAGCGTAACTGCCGGACAGTGCAAGTATACTGTAAAGACGCCGCGTGGCTACATTTTCGGCAGCATAGTAAAGAGTACCCGCGTGCATAGAAAAGATAATCGGCAATTCTTTAATAAGTGATTACAGTGAAGCCAATGGAATTGTAATCAAGGGGAACATTACATACACAGCATCGAATACATCCAACCTGCAGTTCACCAGGTACATCTTTATATTAATAAATAAACAAGTCACATCTCTCGCTATTGTCGATCGGGCACACTTACGCTCTCTCGAACTGATCCCTCGACATCGTACAGGCCCGCTAGCAGAACCAGGGCACACTTACGCTCTCTCGAACTAACCACTCGACATCGTACAGGCCCGCTAGCACAACCTGGGCACACTTACGCTCTCTCGAACTAACCCTCGACATCGTACAGGCCCGCTAGCACACACAGGGCACACTAGCGCTCGTCCGAAGAACACTTCGGAGCCGTGCAGGCCCTGAACAGCTGACGCAAGAGTCACTGTGGTTCACACACATTGGTTACACATGACCAACACAGATCGACTAATAGACTCTACAGATACGGATTATCAAATCCTCCACGAATTAGAAATACTACTTCTAATTGTTTTTCCTGTGACTAGATTCTACTGCTGTCCCCTTTACATAATTAAAGACATAATTGATTACATAATAAATTCCATTTAAGATCTGACACCACATCAAGTATAGCTATTCATCAATCAAGCATACTTGATTCAACTACCATCTTCTCATGCTGCCTCACAAGCATGATTGACTGACGACATCAGCTGACATTGACAACATCAGCATAACCTCAAAGCAACACAGCAATATCCAATGAAGCCTTTATAGCAGAAAAATCACAAGAACACATCTTTTGAATAATCCAACAGAATTATTTATTTCTACACAACAGTGCAATATTATTATAATTGTTTACACTCATTAAAACTTGTTTTAAAATACATATATTATATTTTTCAGCCTTGTCCGTTATTGATTTCCTTTAAAATTATCCTGCCGAGAGACTAATCCAGTGAACTATTGAATTGGCAGTTCGAGCCATAAGCTAACCCTTTAAATCTGAACACTATGAATAGCTCCGCATAAATTAAATTAAATTATTACTTGATTTATTGTACCTTATTACGTATATTAAGAGATAATCTTAATTATAACGATGGCCTAAGTGAAAAAAATATCATGAAAACCGAATTTTAAATTCCCTTTAACCAAAAAGTTATGGTTAAATTATTTATTTAAAAATCAATCTATAATGAATATAAGTACTGATTACGAAGAAATATTAAAAAGATAATTAACAACTATAATTAGTTTTATAAATCGTAAATATTAAATCAATAGAAAATTTCAAAAATATGTAAATTTTTGAATAACTATTTTTTAAATATCATTATTTCTAAGCATGGAGGATTCAGAAGAATATACTGAACATGAATTACTGAAGTTTTAGAGCAAGAATGAAAAAAACTGAATGAAATATACAAGAACAAAAATGCTCGTATGTGCACTGATAAATGATATAAATTATTTACATAATAACATTAATTATATATTTCATTTATTTAAATTTTCAAAACGTTAAATAAAAAAAATTAATTCAATTTAAAAATTGGCCAATGAAATTTGTTACGGATTGAAACAGTTGAAAGCGGTATAGAAAAGTGGGAGAGGCATGAGCTCCCGGACAGTTTGTTTATAAATACAAGTCATCGAATTCGAGAAATGTTTCTACGCTGAAAACTCGAATATACGGTTATAATTTCGAAAATTAATGCCAATGAACCTTCCAAGGCTATAATACCCTAATGACGTCACGACAAATATCGACATAGCAACGGACACCGGATCGCTACCGGTGCCTAAAACTATCACGAAAATATTTAAGGGCTGCACTTGCCGCGCAGCGCTCATTCTCAGTCTAGTCTAGTAACAATTACGCAGTCAACACGACGGGCTCACTATTCAATCTTCAATCTTCTCTCTACAGTCATCACTTACTATAGCGATACACGTATGTAATACTCAAACATAAGCAATCTAACAATACAATAGTGAAGCCACATTATCAGAATCCGTTAATTAAGCTTAAACGAATAACGCGCTAGTGCTAACATAATTGAGAGTGAAATGATCAAAATCATACTACACATATTAACGGATCACACCGACGACTAAGGCAGCAGAAAACCGGTCCCCTTTAAAAAGCTTCGATACGACAGAAGCATCTGTTACTCACCTACACTAAAGCAGCAGCGACCCGGTTTCGCTTAGACGACTTTGGTACGACAGCGGCGGCTCTCACGCATACACCGACACTAAGGCAGCAGCGACCCGGTCCGCCTCAGACAATATCGGTACGACAGCGGTGGCTCTTACGCATATTACGACTGCATCGACCCCTCACACCACGGAGAGGATACACACTCTCCTCGGCACGTAACACAATTGAAGAAACTTCCCCAAATTATTCACTCACGCTTTCATTCATACACTTTATGATCATTAACTATTTATTATATTTATTATATTTAATAAAAGGAAAGACAAGAACCATTGCATGTAGTATTGAATTATTCCATTGCCCCTTCCACTTACCAGCAACACTTCCACTCACCATCAAAGGGAGGTTTTTAGTTTGACAGCAGACAAAATTAATTTCAAGAAAATTATTAATGTTAGTATATTATAAGCTTAAAATATATTCTTAAATTACATATTTAAAATTATTGGGTTTACATTAAAAAATTAATATTTTAAATAATACAATAAAATTATTTTTATTATAGTATATATTTTATTTTTTGAAGGTAATTACAAAAGCTGCATTAGATTGCATGTGTCGACCATGTACCGATATCGAAGAATATGCAATCATTCCTCAAGAAATTGCAGATTTAGCTGATAATGGACCGTTCACAAGTGCAGCTCATTTTAGACATACTTTATAATTAATTAACTGTAAAATTTAACATAAATTAAAACCAGTATGTAATAGAAACTTCTTTTTGATACAAATATAATAAAATATAAATATATCGGAAGTAACAGGAATAATTTATTTTATATTTGTTTACTACATTTTTCTATAAATTTAAAAGAAAATAGTGTTAATTATTTATAAATTTATAAAAATTTAATTTAATTGTAATTTGTTTAATTAATGTTATATTTAATATTTGTATAAATATTTTAAAATTAATAGAAACTATAATGAAAAATGATTTAGTCCGTACTGAATTTTAAAAGAAGTTTTTTAATTTAACATGTTTAGTGAGTTTTGTGTTATCAACTTGTTATAATATCATTATTATCTATTTTAAATGTGTATTAATCATTATTTTATTTTTCGTATTGATTAAACTGATTATTTGTTTGTCAGCTTGTCTTTATTACAAATAAAAATTTTATATAAAATAATAATATGAAAAGGAAAACATACTGCATATTATATTTTTCAATTAATAATAAAATCTATATGACTATTATGATTGTTATAATTAAAGTTTATTACACTTTCTATAAATTTTTATAAATTGAGGTATTTCTAAAATAAATCATAAATTCGAAGATAAGATCGAAAGTAAGCTTCTTGATTTCTGTATTACTATTTTGTCAACATTTATGACACAAAATTAAAATGAAATATTATATTTACATATAATCTCAGTGATATACTTGTCAATAAAATATTTTTTTATATCAAAAAGTACAATTAAAATTAAAAAGTAACAATATAAAAAAATTAATATTAATATTAACTATTTATAAAGTAATAATTTACTATAATTCTCATTATTGAACTTTTGAGTCAGTGGTATAGTTTTTTTGAAAATAGGACATGTAGTGATATAATTAATGAAAAAACTTTAATGAGAGAAAACGCAGATGAACGATAATCTTCAATTTTTTAGTATTTCTAATGAAGATAAATTATTTCCTTGAATTGATTGTTAATTCTGTTCTAAAATCGACTTTTTTCCTATTTTGAAAATAAATAAGTTCGTAAAATAATCCCACAATTTGACTAGTCAGCCAAACGTGCAATAATTAACGTAGAACAATAAAACCCACTAGATGTTATGTGGGGTTGCCGGGCAAGTAAAGGGTGAATGCACTGATTAATAATTAACACATGTCTTTATTATTTCTATTTATTTGAATTGATTTACAAAAGGGTGAATTACAGACGAACTTTATATTTCTTGATAATCTTGTGGTGTTGAAATATATTTACTATGAATGAAGCAGGTTATAATCTATTGAATATTATCGCTAAGAGGTTATCATGATTGTAGTGCTCTGATCGAACACTGGAATGCCATTGTGTTTATCTTAACACGTGTGTAGTTGCCTTTAAATATCGGTCGTAAGAGAGCCGAGATGGAGGTTATGCGAAGCTGTGCGCCATCTGTGGCGGGGACAACTTGCAGTTGGGGGGATTGAGAAGCCAATGTGGGGTTTATAGCTGGTCTTGTTCAAGAGTATGTCCGGGAAGCTTCCGTAGTTGGACTTTATCCGTCCGTCTTCTACATAAGCCGAGAAATCAAGAATGAGTACTAGCTGTAAGGACTTACTTGCAGTGTATCGTGATTTTTCTAGTCTCTCTTCGGTGGCTTGTTATGATGTTCCCTTGCAATGTTGCAACTCTTCAGTTCTTCCTTGTCTCCAACTGAGACCACAAGTGGTCAGGTCCCACGCAATCCAGTCTTGATGAGATCAATTCAACTGTACACTAATTCACAATAGTGGAAAGAACTTATTATTAAAACTCAGCTAGCTAAACGGCTCATCTCTCCGGTCCTCCTCCGTGAGAGTAGGTCGTGACTTATCCTTCACTGTAAGAAGTAATTGGAAAGAGTAAGTGATGGTACATTACGTAGTCCCTTCTTAAATGGTTCACTGATCCCGCTCCACTTGGGATCCCTTCTTCTTTTATTAATTAACCAATCAGTGGTTGATCTTGGGTCGCACAATAGATTATGTACGCCTTCATTTCCACTTCCTTCCGGGCTCAGTTCCGAATTTGCTAATCAGGAAAGTGTCGGAAGGTGGCGAGCCTTTTCCATTGGTCACCTCTCTTTGGTTGCCTCATCCCTCTCTGGGACTTGGCTAGAAGAAGGGTCCGCTTGGGCGTGGTCAATTTTCCAATATGATCGACCAGATGTGGCATAGCCAAGAACAATGCAAGCATTGTCTTAAAGGCCGAGTTTTGTACTCAATGCTTTACGCATATCTGATATTCGTTCTGAATCTACTTTGGGGCTCTCCCGGCAGTAAATCCATTAGGTTCTACTGCACTGGGAGTATGAGCACGTTTCGCTAGAGTTTCCAGATGTTTTATGACACTAGTACAAATAATTATGAGCAGGAAAGTTCTGAAGTCTTAAATACAATTTTCATGACATTACTTGTCAGATATTTTATTGCCTTACTAAACGGAGTCTCTTATTCTCAAACAGAATAATACCTTTGATTAAAACCTATAATGAAAACCTAAGTAAAATATTTGAATCGATTAAAAAAAAAAGTTATGAATTCAGAATTTATATGAAGGAAATTGAATTTTCATTAAAATACTTAAACAATATAATTAAGAAATATTATAATTTATTATTTTATGATAATACCATTTATTCAAATTTATGATTTACTCATTATAGCATTATTTCAATTGAAACTATACTTAGTCTTATAAGAATTAAATTGTTATTTTTTATTAATTAAATTGTTTAAAGATTCGTTAGCATTTATATTATTGTCCAGAATATTAAATATATAATCTTTGAATTGGTTTTTGAAATATTTTTTTCAAATAACTAAATACATTATGCTAATGTTAAAATTCCTTATAATGTACTAATCCATTCTGAATTCAACAAGCATTTTATTTATATAATTTTATTGATACAATTAATAAACACTGTCTATAGTTATCACGTATAAAACATTAGACATAGACAACAATGAATATTTATGCGTTGAAAAAATATATAAGAAATAATATATTAGATGATTAAAGTACAGAATTTTAAATTAGTATTTATTTCTAATGTGGTTAAATAACTACAATTTATAAATTTAATTGTAAATTGTATATTGTAATTATCTAATTCGATTATAAATTTATAAATATACCATATATTATTTAATTCTTATAAAATAATAAAAATGTAGAAGCAATTATTTTCACATAAAATCACATTACAATTTTAAACTAAAATACAATAAAATTAATATACATTAAAATAGTTTCATGAACAAGTTAAGTTAAAAATTCATGTGTTTACAAATAAAATTAAGATAAAATAATATAGTTATGCATCTTTTAATACAATGGTTTTTAAATTAAAAATCTTCAATTTTTTTTAAATACAAACAATATTTTATATATCTTGACTATAATTACTCAAAAAGATCTCTACAAAAACATAATCATAAAATTTGATAGCTACATAGTTCAACGTAATATTAATAATTCTCAAAAAACTTAATTTTTTACTGGGATGGAAAAAAATTTATAATTCTATTTGCATTTTACTTACATAATTCATTTGTAAAACTGGTAAATAAATGATGAATGATAGAGATAGAATGAGTCTGATAACATGAGAAATTGTAAAATTCATTGTAAAAATTGTAAAATCGGAAATGTATCAATAGATATAATTTATCGATCAAAATTAGTCTTATTCTTTTGACACATTTTTCTATTTAGTGAATAAACATAAGGTTTATAATAAATTAATATTTTATTTTTAGATATTTAAAGACTAAAACAGCAAAATAAAACTATATTAAAAGAATTTATTAAAATTATAAAGTCCAAAAAAGGACAAAAATCGGTTTTACAATCATTTTATATTTAGTCTTTATAGGATAAAAAATACAAAGCTGTTCGAAATTGTAGTTTTCCTGGCTCGAACTGCCAATGTTCGATAGCTTATATTTACCGCCCATCGTAGCAAATGCTTTGGAAAGAGTTAAGTGGAAGGGCTGTAAAAATATCGTGCGTTTTGATGAATATATGGTTTATTTACAAGTGATGGATGTTTCACTACACAAGATGTTCCTTGTATTCTATGATTTGCTGTTGATTTTGTAAGGATCAACAATTGAGTTCTTCCCTTCAGCGAGTGTTCTATATTATTTAATGATTGAGTCATCCCTGGGTTTGAGTTTGAGTTTTGAGTCATTGAGTCACCCCATCACATCGACTAGCTATGGCAATGCGGATTTGTGTACTTACAGCGATATAGTTCTTATGGGTCGTCTTGCGGCATTTCAATCTCGAAAGGGCTAGCGATGGCAATGCCGCGTATTATTCGTCGTCTTGCGACTTGATTATTTTCATACGCCTTACACTCTTGAAGGGTTCTCACAATATAGAACAAATAGCGTCTTGTAAGTACTGGCAATAAATAAGTATACTTATAAGAGTATGGATTTGCTATGTTTATAATAGGGTCGCGGTATCCTTATTAGCTGACAACAAAGGGCCTATCATTGCGCGCATCAATCACCATCAACATTGCGCTAGAAAGAATGAGCGCGACTGTGGTGCAACATTATTGTGTACGTGTATCGTTTCAAATGTACTGACTTTTCCGAACCTCTAACCATCGTTAGAGAATTTTCTTAGAAGTTATGATCGTTGAATAATGTCCTTGAAATGATAGCCATTGGAATTTTTTTCCAAATGATAATATATGAGAAATTCTGTCAATCTCGAACAAAAGCAAATACTAAATAATTAGCGTTTATTATTTTCACGAGCGTATATTATTTTAAATTCATTTAAAAAAAACTTTGAATAAAAGTAATAGTGTTTCTCACTGCCATAATATCATAGAAAAAATGATATCTTATTATAGAAAAAAGCAAGATTTCGGAATTGAAGCATTTTCCATGAATTTGAACATGGAAGAAGTATAATCCTTCTAACTCTCGTGTTTGTAAACATTGATTCCGCGAATTCTCGAATATTTTATGCCTAACGTCGACTGGAATTCTTCAACCTTCTAAAGTTTTGCTTTCCTGGAGTTCTCGAAATTTCTAGAGTTTTTCGTCTCTGACGTCATGCAAGACTTTCGGCATAGCAACACCTATACATTGTTTCCAGTAGACTGCCGCGCGGATATTTAAAGGAAGCACGCAACGAGCCACAGTCTCTCTGAGTGAACCTCTTTCAGTGAAGACGCCATAGCACGGATCACGGACTGTCTTAGCAGGAGCTCCATGGAACAGTTGGTGTCTTTCAGCAGAGCTGCCATGGAACAAACAAGCCTTCAGTTTCGTGTGCGTATTGAACAGGCTTATAGGATCATTGTACGTACATGATTCAGCCAGACTTTACAGCTATAAGCTAGTGTTCGATTTTAAAGGGTTAGCTTATGGCTCGAACTGCCAATTCAATAGTTCAGTGGATTAGTCTCTCGGCAGGATAATTTTAAAGGAAATCAAAAACGGACAAGGCTGAAAAATATAATATATTTATTTTATTCGAGAGAGCGTAAGTGTGCCCAGGTTGTGCTAGCGGGCCTGTACGATGTCGAGTGGTTAGTTCGAGAGAGCGTAAGTGTGCCCTGGTTCTGCTAGCGGGCCTGTACGATGTCGAGTGGTTAGTTCGAGAGAGCGTAAGTGTGCCCTGGTTCTGCTAGCGGGCCTGTACGATGTCGAGTGGTTAGTTCGAGAGAGCGTAAGTGTGCCCTGGTTCTGCTAGCGGGCCTGTACGATGTCGAGTGGTTAGTTCGAGAGAGCGTAAGTGTGCCCTGGTTCTGCTAGCGGGCCTGTACGATGTCGAGTGGTTAGTTCGAGAGAGCGTAAGTGTGCCCTGGTTCTGCTAGCGGGCCTGTACGATGTCGAGTGGTTAGTTCGAGAGAGCGTAAGTGTGCCCTGGTTCTGCTAGCGGGCCTGTACGATGTCGAGTGGTTAGTTCGAGAGAGCGTAAGTGTGCCCTGGTTCTGCTAGCGGGCCTGTACGATGTCGAGTGGTTAGTTCGAGAGAGCGTAAGTGTGCCCTGGTTCTGCTAGCGGGCCTGTACGATGTCGAGGGATCAGTTCGAGAGAGCGTAAGTGTGCCCGATCGACAATAGCGAGAGATGTGACATGTTTATTTATTAATATAA